TGGAAATCATCTCACTAACTTAAGCACCAAAGTACTAGCTGTCCAGATCTCTGTCAGGCTCTATCTACAAACAAAGGAAGGAGAAAGAGGCACTTGTAGAGAATGGCTCTTCCAGTTCTAAAAGGGAGTTCAGATTTCCTGAGATGAGCTACCTCGGTCCTTGCCCTCTCCAGTAATGATAAAGAGTGTCTAGCTTAGACTAAGGTGTCTCATTTTTAGACAGCAAGTGGGAAGAATCTTTTCAGGAGGGATGTTTTAGTCTGAAAATTCCAATGTAAGCATTGCAATTTTCTTCTCTGCAAGGATTCATCACCTGACATCATGATGTAAGAGACAATCTAAATCATTCATTGCTTTCTTGACCTAAGGTTTTTCAGCAGATAATCAGATTATAGTCCTAAATTTTGATCCAGCTTCACATTTTTCCAAAGCTTACAACTGACAACAGCTAGGTACTTTTTAGTGCACACAAGAGGAGATTTGGTTGAGATTTGGTTCCAAAGCTAAGCTTTCCCCCTGTTTGATGTGGAGACATCTGAAAGTAGAATTCTTACCTATAAATTTTATTTAGTGTCACATCTCCTAATGAAAAGTGCAGTTCAAGTCAAGGAAGGAAGGAAAAAAAAATTCAGCAAATATAAAAATAGAAGAACCAGTAAAGTTGAGAATTTCCAAGATCTTTCCTTTGACAAGAAGCTCATAATTTATCTTGCTTATTAAAATGCTCATAACTGGAACCTTCATTGTTACTGTTTTCCAGGATGTAAAGTATAAACAAGTGGATGTTTCCTCCTTTTCTCATTTTTCATTTCAAAACCAAAAAGAGATCCTTGAGCGACACAATGAAATACGGAGATCTGTAATTCCCACAGCCAGGAACATGCTGAAGATGGTAAGATTGCTTTCCATATCATTAGCAGAAGATCATAGCCCTTTAAACAACCCACACTCAGTGAACAGAGAGGGCAAGAAAGGTGCTCTAGGGTTGAGATGAAGAAATTGGAATTTTATCCCTTTGTTTCTTCAGGCTTCATGCTTAATTTTACACACCTTGATGCTACAAGCATATGTAGAGTCATTGCAAAGGACTCAAGAGAGGCCACAAGTGCTATTCAAAACCCCTCTCCTAACCAACATGTTTTAGTTTCTCCACTTAGAAAACTCTCTTAAGCAAGACAGGAGTGTCCCTGCTCATGGCATGGGGTTTGGAACTAGAGGACTTAAGGTCCTTTCCAATCCTAACTATTCTATGATTCTATGCCTAGGGTTATTTGTCTACAGGAACTATGAACACAGGTTTGCCCCAGCCACGTAGCTCTCAAAGCTACGTTAACGTAGCCCACACAGTGAATCACACGTTCTTGCCTTATGTTTGTTCATTGCAATATACGGCAACTGCAAGCCTTTTTGGTGAGAACATTTAAACCAGGGATAAGGTACAAAATGTAGTGACAGATCTCAGATTATGAACACCACCTTTTAATCTTTAGTGGGATAAGGAGCTCCTTTAGAGAAACACATTCCCTAGATAAAGGAAAGTGTATAAAGCAAAGGTGGAACAGGAGCATAAGCAGCAGCATGCCTCTGAATCACACTGTCAGGGGGGCAAAAAGGACCTAAATCTGCATAGCCGTTTGTCCTCAGCTGAGCTTGCCTTGCCCATCGCTGGTCCCATTCCTATCAATCATCCCTGATATTCTCTTTTACCCCTATCCCACAAGTAGATAAGCTGGTCAGTGCTTTATGGTTAAGTTTGCGTGGTGAGAACTGCAAATATTCCGCAGCCTCAAAGTCTAGCTGGTGTCTATCAGTACACCTCAGCTGCACCAGGGCTGAAAATCAGTTTTATACCATTTAGTGCACTGCACCCTGCAATGTTAACTCAAACACAAAGCCGAAAGAAAGCAACAGTATGTTATGAAATTTCTATTAATCAGGCCCATCTGGAGATCAGCACAGTGTGATACTGTGCAAAATAACCTGCTCTGCAGCCATCAAGAGCTGAAAAAATGTGGTGCCAATGTCCCAGCAGTGTAAACTGGCCTGATTCCCCTGTTTGCTGTTGAGGACCACAGGAGCATTCAGCGCACAGTGCCCAAGTCACTCCCCTTTTTTTATCTTTTCATGGACTGCACTAACCTGTCTGTGACCTGGATACTTCTTCCTCTCTGTCTTTCAGGTGTGGAGTGAGAAAGCTGCCAGAAATGCTCAGAAATGGGCAAATAAGTGTGAGATGAAAATCAGCCCAAAAGATCAGAGAATCATTAATGGTACATGACAAGTATGGATCCTAAGATGAGGGGTTGATGACAGTTTGCAGATTATCCCTGTGCATGTGAGCTAGAAATAAGGATAACTTTCAATTTCTTATAAAATATCTTTGTCAGATTAATATCCTTAAAGACGAATTGTTGGAACTGAAGAGAGGGGGATGCTATGTACTTGCCCTATATTTGTACCTTTCTTGAAATGCCTGCTTTTGGCTCCTGCTGGAGACAAGACGGCACAGTAGATGAGTGTTGGTATGACTAAGTGCAGACATCTTTGTGTAACATTTTGCAGTCAAAGAAGTATCTGTGACTGGAAGCTCACCAAAATTAGAGTAACATTTACTGCAGCTTTCACAGGTGCAGGATGAAAATCACATGGCAAATAGGTGGCATTGTAGAGATTTTTTTAGGTTGTAGTTACAACCCTTCTGTCTTACCTCCCACCCCACAGCTTACTTCTCTCCTGAGTAATAGACTTACTTACACTTCAGGTGCCAACTGTGGTGAGAATGTATTACTATCATCTTACCCAAGAACATGGTCTGAAGTAATTCAAGTCTGGAACAGTCAGTCCTCCAATTTCAAGTATGGATATGGAGCAATCACGAAAAAGGTCAATATTGAGAGCTATACCCAGGTACGGAGAATTGAAACAAACTGCAATGATACACCAGAATTACAGGAGGACACTTAATGGAGTTTCTCATCAGGAAAAAAAATTATGACCGTCATCAAAACATTATCCCTAGTCACACTCTGATCCAAAGATGAATGATAAATTAAAACTTTTTTTCGTCTAACTCTGAGACAATAGAACCAGTATTTTGGAAAAGCTGTCCAGAAGAGTCTGTAGGAAAAGGGGGGAGGGGAGGGGGAATCAATACCTATAACTTAGAAATAAATATTTTCTATATAAGGATTTAGATACTTGATTAAGAAATATCAAATCAAAATATTTATGATGCAAATATTTGAATTTAAACTTTAGTGTCCTGCCAGAAACAGAGTTCAGAAACATTTGTAAACTAGAGGACACAGTTAATGCATTTTCTATTTATTCTTTCTGACAACTAAACCATAAACTTAAAAGCTAAATAGACAAAACAGTATCTTGTGGTATGTTATTCTGTGAGCTTTCTTATGAGAATTCAATAAAGCATGACTCTGAAATAATGTGGGTTTTTTTTCCTACAGCTAATCTGGTACAACAGTTACCAGATTGGATGTGCAGTTGCCTACTGTCCTATGAACCCATTCAACTACTTTTATGTTTGCCAATACTGTCCTCCGTACGTATTGCCTTTTTACTCATTTAAGATGCAATAGTTATTGATATGCTTTCAAAAACTCCTGCAGTCCATTGGTCATGTGTAGGATAAAAATATTATTGTTTATTTTAACTATTTATAATTCTGAAAATATCAATGGGAACTGTGGATTTAACATCAGATTAAACAGAAATATTTGGTTTAGTTCACATTGAAACAGATATTAGGGAAATTCTAGCATATGAACAAAGAAAGGTCTGTCTCTGTCACAGTCAGGTATCATGCACAAATCATTTCATAACTCTGACCATGAGAAATTTACAGATAAAGTGAAAGCCAACAGCAAATGAATATTCACAGAGATAAAGAGCATATCTGAAACACCTGCTTGTCAGAATATGTCTGCTGAGGTTGTTTCCTTATAAGCTACAATCATCTGAAAGCCATTCAGAAAGAGCAGAACTAGGAAGCACAGAAGATTTTTTTTAAGCTGATAATGTTATACAAATGCAAATAATTGATTAATTTTCTTTCTCTAAACCTTATTGTTCCTCTTATTTAGAATCAAATTTCTTGTTTTCTATGAATATCTGAAACTAACACATGACTGTTTATAACAATAATTTTATCCAGAATCTTCCGGTTGCCTTTATTGTGATAAATAACATGAAGTTCCATTAATGGTTCAGAGGTGCACTTTGATCTTGATTTGTGCCGCATATTTCCAATTTCAGAGGAAATAATGCAATGCAAATAGCTACACCTTACAGAAGCGGACCAAAATGTGCAGAATGTCCTGGCCACTGTGACAGAGGACTTTGCAGTAAGTGAATGTATTCACCGCCTTACAACAAATACCTTAAATATAATGTGTTCCTTCGTAGCACTTAAGTTTTGCATAGTTACTTCTTGCTTATCTGGATGAAAGATCCTAGAACTGCCTCTTTCATTCCCTGCCCCCAGAAATAACAGCGATTAAATATCCCTCTAGAACAAGTACATTCTTGAGTAGGGGGTTTGGACCAGAGGTCTCTTCCAACCTCAACCATCCTGTGATAACAGGTAAATTGTGTAGTCATATTGCTGTTGAGCAGTGGGTGCACTATCACAGTCAATCTTCTGCTGCCCTCTCCTGGAAAGCTCAAGACAGAATGTCTTCGTGTACTTCTGTATCTAAGAGCAAAGATTGTCACACGTCCTCATGTACATGAAGAGCTGCACAGGCCCCTGGGTTCTGCAGACTTCGATGTGGAGCAAGTCAAAGTGTACAAATAGATGGGAATTGTAAGACACCACCTTTCTGCCTTTTCTAAAATATTCAAGCAATTTTAACAGCAGAGCAAAAGTACAAACATTATATAGACATAAAAATTTGGAAATTTTTGAAAATGTAGAAATATCAAACCAGGCCTTGATTTTCAATTATTATTTCATCTGTTTATTTCTATCTCTTGTATTTTAGCCAATCCCTGCAAGTATCAAGACTTCTTTGGAAATTGCGGAAATCTGAAGATGTTGTTTAGCTGTAACCATCCACTGGTGAAGGCAAAGTGTCCTGCTACCTGTAGTTGCACCACTCAAATCATATAATGTCCTGGTGGATGTCATTATAGCTGCCGTGAGACTTAGTAGGAAAGAGTAGAACTCACTGTGAAGTGTATTCACTCTCAGTGTATCAGCTCAAATTGACCTATAGGTAACATTTTTTTCTGAAATCTCACCATTACTTCAGTCCTAAATAAGTCTCGTAGCTCAAAATAATCTCTGATGTTACTTTAGGTTTTATAGAAATCATGCTTAAGCTACTCATGTGTTACTTTGTAGTTTTCCTTGCAAAGAATCGTGCACTTACTCATTTCTTTTAATGGGACACATACTTTTTTTGGAAAATATGCTACATGACACTCAGCTTTCTTCTGTTACTTTTTCTTTGATTATAAATGGAATGTATTCCTGCTAAATAAACACATGATTTACCACTGGTTCACAAACATCTTTTCATCAAAGTTATTTATAATTCAATGTTTTTCATTTATGAATATTTCAAGGCTCCTTTTCTAATACTTCATTTGGGTGGGGATAAGACAGGAGAAGACAAAACAAAAAAGTGGTGCATTTTTTTGTACGGTCAAATAAAAGGCACACTTTGAATCTGCCAACTTTTACTCTCTGGCCTAAATACAAAGTTTCTGATACATCTGTGCATGCCGGTGATAAATTATATTTTTTTTCATATGGCACAGTCAAGAAACATAAAGCTTTTTTAAAGCGTTCATATACAAAAAAGTGGTATATATATATCACTTCCCATCCTCCCTATGAGTAAGCAAGTCCCACACTTGCTTGGAATTCTTATTGCAGCATGTAGAAATAAACAAACAAAAAGAAGCAGTAGATCCAAGTCGCCCCAAATCTCCACCAAAATATCTGATTTTCTCCAGAACTTCCCAGGAACCATCTTAGTGCCAGTTCCTAGCTGTGCACACCTTTAGGGTGCCTACAAGAGGATTCAATTCAGCTGAAGGCCTCACTTGTGCCTTCTGCCACCTCTCTCTGCAAGCAGGCCACCAGCTCCTGCCTAGGGTGCCACGTTAGTTTGTGTATTGCTTCTAACAATGCATTTCCTTGAGTGAAGTATTTCATTTCATATCTTTCCAGGCCCTTTACAATGCAGGGCATGACTTCAACGGGCTGCATATCTGTACTGACCCAGAACTGAGGGCTCAGATTTGTTACCTGTCAATGCCATTGGTTACCTGGAGAAACTTCCTGACACATTTAGTAAGGGGTTTATCACAAACATGCCTCTTCAGATACTGAAAATACATTGATAAAACAGTATGTCAGAATCATTTTATAGCTTTAATAAATATATAGGGTATAGCTTTTATCTGATCTTTCTATTCCTAATTTAATAAAAAGGTAGATGCAGAGGAAATAAAAACTCTTTTCTTACAGTTTATAAACTCTGATAGATGTTAAAAAATGAGCAAATATCTGGAACAGCATCTTCTCACTGAACAGTGGGGCTCCTTCCCACTAACCTTCCTTCCGTCACATTATCCAAGTGATGCATCCTGGTGCCATGCATCCATGTTCTGTCCCACAGACCTCCATCTGCTCCTCAGAATGAGTGCTGTTCTCTCATAGATCCTGAGTCACATATACAATCCCTGAACAGGACTGATACTTAGCACCTTCCTTTCCTATTTCAGACCAGCAAAAATCATTTTCTCCATAGGACTGCAGTTCTGGTTAAAAACACAAGAGGGTGAACCATACCCAAACATTCAACTGCATCTGGTTTTCGTTTTGCTACCTTCTCCTTTTACCAGAAATTAAAGTTCTGGGCCTACCCTGGTCTGATTTTAACACATACTTTCACAGAATTTCTTAGCTAATACTGGCTGAATAAATCATCACTACATATAGAAACTGTTCGGTAGCTGTTTCTTCCCCTCAGTTGTTTCAACCTGTCTCTGTTAGCCAAATTACTACCATATTAAAGCAATTTATACCATCAAATTAAGACAATTTATAGTTTTCTGGATATCAATGGCTAATTCTGGTAGCCTTGATTTTCTGCTCACCTGAAGCTCAGTTTCAACATCCTGACCATGTGCCGTCATCAAGGCTACTACAACCACAGCAATATTTGTAGAAAGTGTAATTCAAATCAAAGCTGGGTGAAAATTTCCTCATAAACTTACGTTTTCCTCAGTAAACATTGTTCTATAAAACACCAGTTGGCTTACAGGCGGATACGTAATTGTATCCTTGCTGCTGGAGCAAGTCTGGAGGAGGGCCACGAGGATGATAAGGGGGCTGGAGCACCCCCTGTATGAAGACAGACTGAGAAAGTTGGGGCTGTTCAGCCTGGAGAAGAGAAGACTGCGTGGAGACCTCATAGCAGCCTTCCAATATCTGAAGGAGGCCTATAAGGATGTTGGGGAGGGACTCTTCGTTAGGGACTGTAGTGATGGGGCAAGGGGTAATTGGTTTAAACTTAAACAGGGGAAGTTCAGGTTAGGGATAAGGAAGTTCTTTAGTGCGAGGGTGGTGAGGCACTGGCACAGGTTGCCCAGAGAAGTGGTAAATGCTCCATCCCTGGCAGTGTTCAAGGCCAGATTGGGCAGATCCTTGGGCGACATGGTCTAGTATGATGCATCCCTGCCCATGGCAGGGGGTTGGAACTGGATGATCCTAAGGTCCTTTCCAACCCAAACCATTCTATGATTCTGTGATTTTATGATTCTCTGTCCCTGGAAAGGCAAGATGTTTCTGAAATATGAGTTTCCTGTGCGCAGCTGAGGTAAAAGTGATGTGATGGTCACTGAGATCCAACATGTCAAGTAACATTTTTCTTCATTCTCTAACTACATTTTCACAAATTTACTTTTAATACTTATGCCCTAGGAGTTGTTTCCATTGTGATACTAGCATATGCTTTTTGGTATGTGCTGAAGTTACACCTACAGAATTGTGCTACTTTTTAGGTGTAGTTCAGGTGAGGAGCTAGTAACAGAGAAGCTTTTACAGTTTCTATTCTGGTTCCAGATATACTCACGAGAAGCACATATGCTGAGAGTTGATAAAAGCAACTACTATGGTACAAGTCCAAGTCTTATCTGTGGAGAATAAAAGCTCTTCAGCAGTTAACTTACGTGACAAAGACTTTAAACACAGACTTTTGAACAAATGCTATGAAATAACTTTAACAGTCTTATGGCTTGTGAAGAAAGAACATTTTTCATATTTTAAATGTGCCAACTGCAGTAGTCACATTATCTAATTTAGCTGCCTGAGAATCAGCCTCTTGGCTGAGCAAAACTGAAGGTCTTTCAGTATCTCAATGTCTTGCTGAGAGCCTAAATCTTACCTGTTTTTCTCCACCTATTGAAGTACAATTCTTCCATAAAACTTACCTTACTCAAGTCTGTAAAATATCACACCTAGAATAACAAGAGGTGAAGCAGCTAAAGCTAAGACTTCATACTAAATGGAAAACAAGAGTTGCAAATCTTGACATGCCATTAGAAATTTGTGTTGTCAGAATATCCAGTTAGTGCCTAACAAACACAACCGTACAAAGATTTTTGAGCAAGACCAAGCAGCAAAGAACATCAGAGCAGGGACAGGACAAGGATGTTCCCCACCCCCGGGCTGCTCCCGGCTTTTCTAGGCCAGGTTGCCAAAAACTGGATTCCTCTAAGTGTAAGAGCCACAGTTAAACTGTGACAAACAGGACATGGTCTTCCTCATTAAGAAGCTACTTGACAGCAACTGTCTCCGCTCCAAGCTTCAAGGCATTTAACCTTCATGCTTCAGTCTCACCAGCTGCAACACAGAGATAAACTGACACAGCCAGAGCAAGGAAGATTAATTAGTAAGCACTGAGAAAGAGCCTGTGAAGTGCAAGGACCTGTTAATTATAATATCACACTTGATAGCCACGCCTCCAGCATAATGATATCTCAGTTTAACCACAAGTCAAGGCAACACGGGGCACCAGGAGATACAAGTGAGGAAATGACACTCCCTCCTGTGCCAACCCACTGGTGATGTCTGAAGGTGCATGGGCCGGTCAATGGGTTCAGTTGCCTGGTCCTGGGCCTGCACAATGCAGCCACTGGGCTGTTTCCTAGGACTAACAAAGATATTTTGACACCCACAACAATAAAAGTCTTGAAGAAAGGCAACTTTTAGGAAAAGTTGCAGTAACAAATTGGCATGGAAATACTCTTGAATACATTATGGAAATGGCCCATGTTAACTATCCATTTTATTACAGATGTGCAACCCAATGCTCAGTACGTATGTAACTGAAAATGACTCTTTAAAATGCTTATTGTCAGATTTTGGGGACTTTCTGCAGCAACAGAAATAATTATTTCAAATCAAATGACATTTTTGTCTTTCTGGTTTACATCATTTGCTCTGCTTTCTTTTCTTCTTGCACTTCTGCATAAAGTGATGGAAGTAAAGAAGGAAAATCCAAGCTGCGAAACTAAAATCTAATTAAGGCCTTTATTTGTTTTGTTGACAATTTTTTAATTAAATAGAAGATTTTTTCATTGGCTTTAAAACACCAATTTTTATCTTAGGCATGCATAACCATTGACTTACCTTCTTTAAAAAGTCCTTTCCCAATGCAAATCTATACTGACTATAACAAGGGAAATATATGTTAAATCATATTATTTTTATTTCTTTATATTTATATAAAGAAATATGTATTTATCTTATTATCTTTGTAGAGCATTCTTTGTGGAGGCACATAGGATAACTCAGAATTCCCACAAAGTGATTCCTGAAAGGTCAAAAGCTGTTTATTTTGGCAAAAATTGAACTGTAGCTCTTGTGATTTTTGCACAGGATTGAAACACTGCGGAGTAAGGGAGAGTTTCTGAGCATTACTGCTTCTAAAACACAGAAAAGACACAAAACCATTAATTTGAAAGCAAGAATAGATTCACCTCTTGTGCAGATGTGTCCGTGGAACTCTGGCCTTATGATGGAGAAGACTTTCCTCCCTCAGCCAGCAATGTATCGGAAAACATAAAAATTTCTCATATTTTTTTGAACTACAC